ACCTTTGAAATGTTAAACTTCATATTTTTATTTAATTCTCTGGCAAATACTTTCTTCTGCTAATCAACCTCTTTCATTCCCTTCCATTTATTAGACATGCTATGGACTTCTTCTAAACTCCCAATGTTTCTGTAGAATTCTTTTTGTTTCAGACAGCATGCTCTGCTTCACAACCATCTCAATTCAGCATAAGCCTAATTTTCAATCACTTCATATATACTCTAAGGAGCACATCTAATTAAATTCAACCACTCAATTCCCAATTCAGGATCTATCCAGTGAGATACTTTTTTTTCTACTCCTATAGTCAAGCTCCTGAGTAAGTCTATAGAAAGTAGATACTGATTGAATCTATTATAAATTTATGGTTTCAAGTATTAACTATTAGCCTTGAGTTATGTGAAGAATGCTTTGCACAGAAAATGCACTAAATGGTTCACAATCTAAACTTAAAACTTTGTGCTTCATATCACTAAAAATACAAAAAGATAAACTATGAACTGGTATGATTTGGTAAAAGAACTTGCATACAGAATATATTTTAAAACACTTGTTAAATTCACTAAATAGAGGCCAAACAAATCAATTAAAATGCACAAAAGGTTTAAGTAGACATTTAAACAAAGAAGCTATAAATAAACTAAAAAGTACCACTGTTATCAAGTGTAGACCACGATGAAAACTGTAAATATTATGTACTGATGATGGGAATGAGTTGGTATAGCAATTTGGAAAAGAGGCCATTTCATAAAAAGTTAAACACAAATTTGTCGTACGACCTAGATATTCAATCTAAATGTGTCCATCAAGGAGAAGCAAAACACAGATCTCCTTACTATGAATTTAAGACTTCACCATTACTTTTATAGCAGCATCATACAAAAGAGTTAAAATAGTGGAAACAACTCAATTGTTCATCAATTCACCAACAGATAAACACAAAGCTGTATATCCTACCTATCATTCAGCAAAAAAAAATCAACTACTGAGATATATTACAACATGTATGACCTCAAAAACATTGTGCTAAGAAACTATATGCAAAAGACTATATGAATCCATTCATAAGAAATATCCCTAATCCATAAAGACAGAAGGTGTTCAAGTGGTTGCCTAGTGCTGAGTGTCAAAGTGGAGACTGATGACAAATGGTACTGAGAGATCTTTGGGGGAAGGAGGAAAGTTGTAAATCTGGATGTGGCAGTGCCAGTGCTTGAACAACTCATTATGAATTCACTAAAAATCACTGAATTGTACACAAGAAAAATTTTTACATGTAAGTTAGATCTCAACAATGCTATTATTCTATTACTGAGGCTTTCAAGGCCTCTCTGCAAACATTTTAATTTCAAATTTTGATAAGTTTCTCAATATCCTATCCTGTACATATGTTCCTCACTCTCAGCGGTTTCTTAGCTTCTACTTTACAGAGAAAGTAGAATTATAAATTCCAGTATTTTCCCACACCTCCAAAGTAGTGATAATAGCACTTTTTCTGTTTCAGAGAGGGAAGGGTCTCTCCCTTCAGCTAACTTCATAGTGCTTACAATTTTAGTTCTTTTCTTAGTCTGTTCAGGTCTCCATAACAAACTGCCACAGACTTGATGGCTTATAAACAAACAACAGAAATTTCTCATGGTTCTGGAGGCTGGGAAATCAGAAATCAGGGATTCAGCAGATTTGGTGTCCAGTGAGGTCTTAACTTCCTGGTTCATAGACCATCATCTTTTTGCTGTAACCTCACATGGTGGAAGGCGCTAGGGAGCAATCTTGGATTTCTTTTGTAAAGGTACTAAATCAGGAGGATTCTGCTTTCATTATCTGATCATCTCTCAAAAATCTACCTCCAAATATCATCAAAATGAGAGTTAGACCTAAACATATGAATTGGAAAGGGAGTATAAGAGTTAAATCTATACAGTCCAATCATTTCTAGCTAAATTTTTCCAATTTTTTAAAAAATTATCATATTATTTTGTCTAGGAATTCACTCTCTTAATGCCTTCTGGAATTTTTACATCCCCCAAACAAAACAGAGAAAACCAGTGATAAAGTCATTTTCCTCCTGTCCCTTGTGATCACTTTCAACTGGCCACCTTCCTTACCTTTACTGTTACCTTTGTGAAGATCACCTCTGCTTTCATTGCGCTTAACCTTCTATTTCCTTCTCATCTCTTATAACCTAGCACACTCCTTAAGGACTTCATTGAAACTAATATCGATACGGTCACTAATAAGAAAGTCATTGCCAAACTACATTTCTTCAGAATCTGACATTGTTACCTATTCCCCCTTCTCTCCATTTCAAAACCATCATCAGTTAACCCTAGCTCAGTTTACCCTCCTCAATTTTTGTATCAGAGCTGACCTCTCTGACTCTCCAATGTCTGAGCTTCCTTTATTTACTCTTAAGATGTTAAGGGCAAATTTGCTCTCAGAATTCGTTTTCTCGCTCCACATCAGAGATTCAAATGTGCTTCTACTGTGCATAGTGTCAATTCACACAGTGATTAAACATGATTTAATTAGTTACTGCCAAAAAAGGCCTTAGGCTGGCCCAAGGCCAGCTCTACTGAGAGATACTAAGGCTGGAAAACTGACCTTGGATTTGTGCTGTCTTGCATTAAAACAACAACAACAAAAAACAACTTGGAGATGTGGCTCAGATCATTTCACCACTGTTACTTGCACCTGGTGGGAAGCTTCTCCTCACTGGTGCATTTTTCTCTCTGAACAGGCAGTATCATTACCAGCTGTACCTCTGTCAGAAGCTTTAATGGACATGAGTAGTTTACACAACTATAAGCGAGAATGTTGTCTCCTGCTTTATATAAGCATCTTTGCTTATATAGATTATTTGCTATTGAAGAAAGATAATATCTTTATTCATTGTCCTCATAGATCTGTTAGGAGAATTACCAATATTTAAAAATTAGATTTCACACAAAAGTCTAGACTCAGCCTCACTGGAAACCTCAACTGGTTTGGCAACCCTGGGCCTTTTTACCACATTCAAGTCTTCCCAAAGGCAGCAACCTCTAGAGCAGAAGGGGGCTGCTGACTTAAGTTGGGCATATGCACTATGTTTTTTGGCTATCTGTAAACTAAAGTTCTCATCAGAAACCACCTTTGCTGACTTGTGGCCATAAATTTCTAGCCTCCAGAAAGGTGAGAAATGAAGTCTTTTAAGACATCCACTTTGAGGTATCCTTTGATGGCAGTCAAGCAGGCAAACCCAAGTTCCTCTGGGAATAAAGGGTGTCCCCAGACCCATTCCTACTGCCATTTTTCATTTACGTCTTCATCTACTTTTCATATGGACTTTTTTTTTTTTTTTTTTTGTACTGGGAATTGACCCCTGGGGTGCTTCACACTGAGCAACATCCCCATTCCTTTTTTATATTTTATTTAGAGACAGAGTCTCCCTGAGTTGCTAAGTGCCTCATTAAGTTGCTGAGGCTGGCTTTGAACTCATGATAGTCCTGCCTCAACCTCCCAAGCTGCTGGGACACAGGCATGTGCCACCACACACAGCTTGATGTGGACTTTTACAATCATTTCCTAAGCAACCTACCTGCCTTGGTATCAACCATCTCCATTAATCTTATATTTCAGAGGGAGGATTCATTTAAAAATACAATGATTATAATAACCATTGCATGCTTTTGCTTTGAAAAAAATTAAAAAGCTAATTATAATTAGTAAAAATTGTTCATTACTATCTGTAGGCTCAAACACCCTAGAATGTCTCCCTAAGTCCTTTATCTCTGGTCATTCCCATCTACATTCCCAGTACACTAGCAGAATCACATTCAATGTTCCTTATGCCAAATTATTTTGAGCCTCTATGCTCCCATTCCCAAATTTCCTTCTGATTCTCCAGGGTATGTGTCACAAATCTTATGTTTTTTTCAAAGGCTCTACTTAAAATATACTGTCTTTTGTAAATGTTTCCTTTTACATTAACTGTTATGAATATATTATAAAATTTCCTAGGGAGTCTCTAACATGCCCATGAGGATTACATTTATTTTATGATCTTTTCTTAGGTTAAAAAGGAAATTAGGTTGGTATTGGATTGACATGGAACATCTTTAAGCAACACAATACTTAGAATATACCATAGCTGGCTACTGCAAACCCTCTTCTTTTGGGGGGGGGGGCATTTTCAATCTGCTAGTAAGAATTACTCAGCTATTCTTGATTGCCCATCTACATTCTTACCAGAAGTTGATCAGATGGGAACCTACAGCCTTCACTATAGCAACACCAACAACTTGAGTCCTTGCTATTCCAGCTAGGTGGTTTTGTGCTATTATCTAAATGCATTTCAGTAATACAGCTTTTAGAGAGAATACCTAACTAATTAAAAAACAAAAACAAAAACACCCTTGAGGAATTTTTTTTTTTTTTTTTTTTGGCTTTTGAGCTTTCTTATCAGTGAACTGTTGAAAAGCCTTATTTACTAATTTGCTAAGAATCAATTCTCAAATATACTTCATATTATTTAAAAGAACTTTAACTAAAGTAGTTGGGAAACCACAAGGATGAGAGGTAAGCTATATGAGTCCTTGAGAAAGAAAAAGGCCAAAAGCAAGAGTTGTATGTTTTTAACAATATCCTCAAGAAAAACATCAAACTTTTTATCTAATGATGTGAAATAAGTTTTAATTCTTATAGAATTAGCTTCCCAGTAAATCAGAGGGTATCTGCATTAGAAAAAAAGAAGAATCAGCATTCTTTCAAATATAGAAAGTCTATGTTTATAATTTTGCTTTTATAGAGATTAGAATTATAAGTCTTCTCATCAGCAACACAATTGTTCACTATAACAAAGTCAAAATGATCTCACAAACTAAATCACTTTAGTTTTTAAAAAATTCCAAAATGATCATCATGTCAAAATAAAGCCTTCTTTGCATCTATTGTAAAACCCTTGTGACCTTATTTGTGAAACTGCCTTGTACACTCCTCACCATCACATATGCTGACAGATTTACCTGTCTGCATCCACGGTCACATCATGAACACCTCTCTGAATGACATCTCTTGAAGTAGTTGTGTCTGGTATTCGGTTCAGACTCCGAGTGTACAGGTTAAGCCCTCCATCTGTCATGTACCTGAAGAAAAATGTCTAATTAATCAAGAGCAAATTAAAGGAACCCCTCTGTATAATTTTAACTTGATAAACAAATTGTATTCTCAATTTTCAATAATTACTCCAAATAAGTTATTAATATTTTTCTGTATAAACATTTTCCTCATCAGAAAGAAGTAAAACATCTTTTCAGTTTCATTAGAAAATCAGTGTTTCTTACTGCAACAAGTAGCCTAATATAAAACTTGTTTTTCTTTTTTGCTATCTGTATTTTACACAGGCTGTGCATAATCCTCACAAAATAAGAATATGATGATGTAATTTTGTAAATACCATTTTTGAAGAATTGTAGGTCATAGGAATAATGGAACATTACTAAACTTACTTTTTTTGATAAGTAACAATTATGCCACAGTTGGTCACTGTCATAGAATAATTATTTCCAGGACCAATTCTAAATAGCTTACTTTAATAAAGTCACATTATTATCTACATTTCAGAAATGAAGAAAACAAATGCTAAAATGTTAAATACTTGCATATGGTCACTCAACCAGCCATGGCAGAGCTGAGAAATGAGTCTAGAAAAGTTGACTAGAAACTATGATCTTAACTACTATGCAAAGTGATCTGAGATGGAGGATCTACTAATCCCCACTTCCTATCTTTGAGATCTCCCAATGGGGACGGCAGGTCCAGATAGTCAGCATACTCTTAGATAATGTTGCTTCCTTGGCTACTGAGTTTAAATCATGGTATTTAAACCATATGGATATTCATCTCAAAAACTGTTTTGTTTAGCAAAGCATGGTTGCCAATAATGTGATGTAAATAATGTGATGTTCTTTTGTGACTTCTTTCACTTCAATTATATTTTTGCAATTTGTTCATTTTGATGTGTAACATTTTAGAGCTGTAGAGTGCCATTTTACAACTGCACCATAGTTTTAAAATTTATTTGACTATCAATGTGAGTTGGTTTTCTTTTTGTTGATGCAAACAATGTTGCCATAAATGTTTATGGGCATGTTTCCCTGTGCTTATTGGAGTAGTTTATTTAATTTATATTTGGGAGAAGGATTTCTGGGTCATACAGATATACACATATATCCTATTTTACTATCCAATGCCAAATAATGTTTAAAATAATTTCAGAAATGAAACCCCTGTTGGTGGATGGGAAATTTCATTATTTGAGAAATTTGCCAATATTTGGTGATTTTGTGCAACCTGAGACACATGAAATGATTTCTATTTTCATTTAAATTTACATTACTACTTAGTAATGTTCCCCATTACTAAGTAGGTTGGTCATACTGTTATTTTGTTATAGGCTATTTATGTTTATATAAAATGTATGTTAATGTGTTTTGCTCATTTTCTTAGATTCTACTTTTTTGTTTTGTCTTCCTCTCTGATACTAGTCCTTGTCTAGTTAAATATACTGCACATATTCATGGCTTATATGAAGTTAATCCTGGTGATTTTGTCTTGATCATTCTTAGTATGTAATATTAACTTTTCTGAATAAAAGGAAGGTTGGCTTAAGTAGCTTTCTAATTTCACATAGCAATAGTCCTTATTATGTCTGTGTAATTCAAAAATTGTGAAGTAGGTTGCTTTTACAGACTTTGGCTCTGTGCCCATCTCCCACTTTTGTTAGGACCTTCTCCGCTTGCACCTTTATTGCCAGCCACTCTCTCTTCAGTGTGATTCTACTCCCAACAGTCAGCCTCCTGTAGGCCTTGTCCTGAAAGAGACCCACGGCTGGGCCATTTGAGCATTTTACAGGTTTTAGACTGCTATATTCCTGTCACAAAGTGACCATCAGCCCTCGCACTCTTGACTAGTCAAGTGGCCCAAATCCCTACCAGCGTCAGCCAATTTCTGTGTGCTTTAAGTCAGTTTCTGTTTGCTATTTGAGGCTCTTTTCTCTTAGTATCATTAGATGTCCCTTTGCTATCCTCTGTGTCTTGGGAGTTGAGACAGTACCTTGTCATCATCTTTGTTGTAATTAATTATCTTCTCCTTTTTATTCCCCCCCCCCCCGCCTTTGGCTCTCTTCTAGTCTGGCTCCAGTCTGCACTCTTAAACATCATGACATAGTGGCCCAGAGAGATAGTCTACATGCCCAAGCTTCTCTCTGAGCAACTAGCTTTTTTTTTTTTTTTTAATACAGTCATTAAAGAAACATTCATAGCAGTCAGCTCTTACTAGTACAGTTTTCTTAGCTAGCACATTTGCGATAGGGGGCATTTTTTCATGCTATCTGTGCTGATGTATAAATTTTGGCTGATGTATCGATGGACTGATGGATCATAAAACACTGCCCAGAATGCAATAAATAATATGCCATTGTTGACTAGTATTGTCAGCTGTTTTTTACCATTAAAATTTCTGTCTTCACCCAAAATGGCTCACATCTATGAAAACAGGCGGAATTAAGATTAGGAATCAAGGGTTCACCAGAAGTCCTCTTAGTAGCTCAGGCACCCCGATCTTCCCACTGTTATGCATACTGTCGTCATTCAAAGTTTACTAAAGGAGAACTGAGGAGGCAAAAGTAAAGCCTTCTTAAATTCCATGCCTCAGAATTCTTAAATTATTTTGTATTTGAGTCATGTGGTTTGAGGAGAATTTTAATTTATAGTTACATGCATTGCTTATACTATTTAAAACCGGGATGCCTAAAGGTAACTTCAATTTCCACCCAATTAAAGTCTGTAACTTTTCTCCTAATTTTCCAGTGTTCCTTTTTTCTTTATAAATGGAGACTTTTTCACACTCATTATAAATAAGAGGTCTTACTCTGACTAATTCCTAATTACTGAGAGACTCACATCCCCAAGTGTGTAGAGTAATTTCAAAAAGAGAAGAGATAAGTCTTTGCATGCTTCAAGAAATTTTGAATTCTCAGAATACCAATCAAGTAATTTTTTTAAATTTCTACCTAGAGCATATGGAAAAAAAAAGAAACTTCATTCCCATTTACACTGACTTCATGCATTCTTATGGTTACATGAGGGGAAAAAATCCTAAATCAAACATCTTCATTTTTTACTGTATCTATTAAGACTTTTGTTCCTTTACACAGTAAAACATACTTTAAAAAACTGTCAAGAGAAAGTGAACTTTTTGATTTAATATTTTTATGAGTTGTTACACAGGTATTTCTGAGCCCCTTTTACGACTTAAAGAAAATATCATAATTTAAACGTTTTCTAGGATAGCTCCATCTCATTCATCTCCTGACATTTAAATTCTAAGCTGAGGAACTGGGCTCCCTCCTGCAGGTGCCAAGAACGGCACATTACATACACTGGTGAGCAATGTACCACACCCCTGGCTGTCCTTCAGTCAGTATCTTCCAAACACCCTTGAGCTGAGACCATCCCCATCCCCTGTCAACCATGTCTAGTCTTCCCCACACAGGAAACAGCACTGACTTGCGCTTTAAATTTCATTCTCCTGCCCTCTCACATGGAAAAGAAAAAAAAAATATATAAGTCCATGCAGGTAAATATCTCCTGAGGAAGCTTTCAAACAGGATTTGGGTTATTTGTGACATAGGACATGTGGGCCACCAATGCCCATTTAAAGAGACTCCTTTGTGAGACTGTCCAAGGCATTCTTTGAAAGATTCAAGGAACAAAAATGAAGGCGTATAGAAGTATGAAGCAGATTTCAAAGGAGCCATGAAACAAGTAAGAGAGGACAAAGGATCTAAAACATTTTCTTTTTCTCAATAGCCAATTCAGCAGACTGGCTGTGTCTCATCAAACCAGCTTCCTCCTCCTGTGCACACAGCTGAACCATATTTTCTTGCCTCTCTTATAGTTAGATGTGGCCATGTGGTTTTCTGGAGAGAAAATGTGGGTGGAATTCATCTGCAAAATGTCCAGGCCTGGTGCAAACAAAATATTCTTACACCATGGTGCTTCATCTCTTTTGTCTTTTGCCTACTGAATATCAATGTCCAAGATGACTCTGGAAACTTGACTTGATAATAGTAGAACTACCATCTTACTCTCTGAATGACTCTGCCCTAACTGAAGGTCAACAACACCAGGGAGGGTTTTATGTGAAGGAGAATGAGCTTATTTGTGCTATGTTACTGAAATTTTTAGATTGCTGTGTTACCAAAATTAGTATTACCGAATACAGGTAGTATCCTAGAAAAGACCAAATGTTCCTGAGGAAGGTATGCCTGTAATATACATTACTAATGAGAACTCAGTTGTTTAAAATAGTTCCTTAAATCAGAATACTTATGCACTCAAAAACACACATATTTACTTATTAAATAAATAAGCACTTATACAAGTACAAAAAATGTTAATATGTGAACTCTGTGTGGGTAGGTACTGTGTCTCTGTTGTTCACTATTACCCGCTCAGTGCCCAGAATATTGCTTAACACATAGAATGAACTCAACAAATATTTTTGTAATATACATACACACACACACACATACACACACATATATATGAATATATATAATTATATACATATAAGTATATTCTTCTATAATATATATATAATTGAATTTATATACACAAATATGTCTATGTATATGTTATGTATATATATAGTATGTGCATATATGTGTCTGTATGTATATATAAAATATGTATGTATACATGTATGAATATATATAAAAATTGAATATATATATATATGTATATATATATACACAAATGTGTGTATATGTTTATTAATTTATTATTTCCGTTTGTACATTCTTTCCCCAGGAGGCCTCATGCCTCCACAATGTCCACTATCTTATACTGAGATGAGATAGCTCTCTCTCCTGGACACTACTTTTGCTTTTTTCACAAACTATATCCCACTGTTTCCAACTCATCTACACACTCAACAAAAAATCAGCTCCCTCTCTCATCCTATTTTCTTTAACCGTATCCTTTACTATCTCCTGTGTTTACAATGTCGGTATCTTGACTGATTTCTTTATCTCCCATATATCCTCATGTGTAGTCCATCATCATCCCTACAAAATTTTTTCTTTCAGGTGCTTCCCTCATCAATTATTTTTCTCCCTTCACCCCCACAAATGCCTTCTAACCTTGAATCTGAACTCTTAACATAGTTCCTGAGTCTAGCTCCAGAGTTTCTCGTTTGTATCCATTTTCTGTGCCTCCACCAAACAGGTCTTTCAAAAACTATCATCTTCTTCATGTCCTGTTCTGTGACTATTTCATAATCTCTATGAAGTTGCAGTTTCCATTGTTGGTAGTACACAGTTCAAACTTTCTAGGATGATGGTGTGGAGGCCTGTTTTGACAGTCCCCAGCTCTTGGAATTTGTCCTTAAATATTCATCTTTCATGCATTTCAGTTAGGAGAAAGAAGACTGAATATCATCTGACCCAACTCTCTCACTGGTTCTAAAAATTATCTTTTTGTCAAGTTTACTGAATGGCTTACACCTTCTGTATTTAAACTTTTCTTACAAATTTTCTCTTTTAGCATATTTTCCTCATCTACAGTTATTTAAATCGGGAAACAGAACCAAACTCCTTTCTATTTCATACCAGAGTTTACCACTTTCTTCTGATTCTGACTTTTGCTCAGTTTTTATCTATTTGAGTCTCTCAAAATTATCCACATGTTGTATTGTGGATGCTCCTCTGATTTCTGATTTAAGCTGCTCCCACGATATGCTGTGTGCATAAATGCACTCAATCCTCATCATTCACAAACCCTACATTTGTGAATGTGCCTACTTTTCTAAATTTTATTTGTAGACTCAAAATCAATACTTGCTGTACTTTCATAGTCTTTTGTGGACATGTGTAGAAAAGTGAAAAATTCAAGTCTCAGGGGTTTTCAGGTGAGGCCAAACAAGGGAACACTCGGTCTACTTGTTTCATTCAGCTCTCATACCACCCAAAATGTCCTATTCATGGTCTAGTGCCACCTTTTCACATTTCGGTCTTTTCTCTTTGAAATCTTATGACTTAAAACATCCTATAGGTGTGGTGCAGAGGTGCCATCTGTGTTCCTAAGTGTGAGAAAGCTGAGAGGTGTCTCATAGAGAAAATGTATTAGACAAGCTTCAATTAGACATGAAGTGTGTCATTGTTGTTTGTGATTTCCATGTTACTGAATCAAAGGTATGTATTTAATAAGGTGTGTTTAATCAGAAACACTCATAAAACATGGTTATATACTGATTATTTAATGAAAATGTAACCAGAAGTTTGCAGGAACCTAAACCTATTATTCCCCTAGGAGCAATGGTTCAGTGCTCACTAATTCAGTACTTGTGTGTCTCATATAATAAGATAAAACTACCAGGAATAATGAAATTGCTTGCACTTGCATGTATGTAAATATATGTGCATATATAGAATATATATTTGTATATACAATTAAATATTCATTCAATGGATTTGAAGAGTGAATGTAAAACAGGAAGATACATATATGTTCACATTTAAAGAAATAGAAAAAGAAAGGAGAAGGTAGGAGGGAGAACAGAAAGAATGGAGAAGTAAAAAGGGAAATATGAGGGAAAGAGTATGTCTCGGATATTTCTATGTTGCCATGATGTTCCCTGGACTGGGTATTCCCTTCTAGGACACATTACATATGAATAAATATGCTAACTAAAAACAAGCACAGTTTCTATTATATTAACTATAAGAAATGTAATGATAAGAAGGAGGATAAATCTATCAAATACTTAACACTGTGCAAACTTTGGGATAAGTGAAATTTTGTTGATGATTTCCTTTATTCTGAAAAAATTCATGAAGGTGCTATAATTTTATCCTTATTCCAGCTAACAAAAATAAGTAAATAAAAGAACTGGAGTAACACAAGTTCCAAGTTCCCAAGGGGTCCAATGATAGAAAGGAATTTGGTTTTCACTCTGATTCCAATGGCAACCAAACTACAATCTACCCTCCTCATCATTCATCTCCCTTATTCTAAAATTGTTTGAAACTCCAGTAGGGTGGATACCAGAATATCATAGCAGAGCAATACATGTGATCAAAAGCTCTTTTTTCTTTTCTTTTCTTTTTTTTTTTAGGTCTTGTCATCATTCAAACATAAGCTTTTAATCAATAAAATCAGGGAGGGTTACCCATATGGAAGAATGATTTCTTACACTGGGCCTCTAAAATGAATAAAGATTAAGAGTAGGTCAAATCCTAGACTCACATAAAAATTACAGGTAAAGTTAACTGGCAGACTTTTCCATAAATTTCAGAGCCTCAGTTTTTAAGTCATACATACCTGGATTCTAAAGCAAGTCTGGCCTTTCCTATGTACACCATTTGGGCCAATTGGGCTCTGTTTCATTATATGCAAAAATGTCTAAAAATCTCCTCCCCAAAAGGGTTGTTGCTGGAGGGGAGATTAAATGAAACAATAAATTTAAGCACTTTAACAAAATATGGTAGATAACAGGAAGTGCTCAAAATGGCAATTATTCATAGAAGACAGTTTAAAAGAATATCCTATGCCTGCATTAGGGCTCATTCTCTGATTACACCAAGGATTCCAAGCTGCCAAAATACAGGGGAGAATATAATAGAAGACAGAAGGAAAACAAAGACTAAGATTTTTTAAAAGTTTAATACCATTGAAGGAGAATACATTGATCAAAACTTTCTACTCTAAAATTATTTTTCCCTCATTTAATTGGAAGCATATAATCAAAGAATGCTAGAAAAAAAATTTTTTTCTTCAAAGCTGTTAGAGGCAACATGAGCCAAAAAAGAAAGTCAAGCAGTTCAGCAAAGCTCCTCCTGTCTTCTTCCCACGTCCTTCACTACAAAATCTGTTACTGAGAGCATGTGAAAACCACTCTGAAAAATACAGGCCACATGGGTTTCTGAAAACTAACCAAAGGAAAATTTACTGGCTTAAATGAAAAGAATCTACAGAAAACTCAGATATTTTACTTTCCATGTATGGGCAGATGAAAGACTGGGAAACAGTACTGTATACCTTGGATTGCTTGCCTTTTCTAAGGATCAGGTGAGTGAAATTCCCACGTTTTCACAGGAATGTATCCCAAGAGGCCACCTCCCCCCCTCACATAGTGCTGCTGAGATCAGGACCACTTACCCACTGTTGATGTCATCAGTTCTGAGACTTTTCCCAAGAATATCACCATCGCTCATATATCCACCAACATCCACTTCAGAAGACATGTCCAGGTCACTGCTTGCTTTCTCGCTCATGTCAATCTGTGACATGTTTCCCAGCCGTGAGACGGCAGCTCTGCGGAGAGGCGTTGTGTACATGAACCTGGAGGGGTCAGTGTGGATGAACCGACTGGTACCACTACGCGGGTAGCCAGCACCCATGGAGGGAGCATCACCCGCCTGCAGGCGGGGACATGCCTGGCCCAGCCTCCAGGTCATGGGAGTGGGTCGACTTGTCAGGTTGGGTATGGTCCTTCCATTCACTTCTGTTGTCACAGTGCTGTCAAATGTTGTCTCCAGGGTGCTGTTAAATAAAAATGGAGAGATAACCCACCTCTGGTTCACTAGGGCCACAGGCCAAAAATGCACAAAGACAAGAGAAAACCAGAGTCTCATTTTTTAGCAGCATAGTACTTTCATGAAAGCTAAATTACTCATTTGTGATTCCAATCACTTTTGCATATGTCAAAATGTGGGAAGGGAAATTCATTTGCAGTTATTTTTTGTTTGTTTGTTTGTTCTTTTAAAGGAAAGGTCATCATTACATTTTGGATAAAAACCAATTTGTTTCACTTTCCCAACAAATTCTAAGCTGAACTCACCACTGTAACCTATCTTGAAAATTAATTGCAATCATGCTTGAATGATTTCTATCACTCCTCCCTAGGCACATATCCATTGAAGTTTCTGCCACTCTTCTCTGGGACAGGCATGAAAATCTTAGTTGTGATGGGGTAGTTGCAGCTGCTAATTCAGTTTGAACAGCAAATTATACAGAAGAGATGGATAAGGAGAAAAGTCCCTGGGTATATGCTGAGAATTTTCAGTTCAAGGATTATTACTAATTGATTATCATGTAAAATTCAAATGAGAAAATACTAAAAGATAAGTGAAACTTCTTCTGTATCATTATTAGAGAAATGAAGTGCTTGACTGTAATTGTTTTTTTCTTTATTGGCCCAAAGATTCACAGAATTGAGAAAAACCTGTGGCTTATCTGGGTCCCACGAAGACTAGACATAGTTTCTTCTAAATTCTGCCTCAAATCTGCAATGTTTTTAACTGTTCTCATTCTTCTTGTTTCAGGGTCTTCACCTGGAAGAGAAGCATGATAATAAATTCATGCAATTTACTGTTCTTAGGATAATTTCTATACATAGCCAGGCAATATAAGCCCTCTTCTTAAAAGTCAAAAGATAGTTAGGAAATTCCAAATCTAATTTTCATCTGAAAATTAGAATTCTTCTTTCTACAAATAAAATGTGAACAGAAACAAATGTAATCTCACAAGTAGTAACATTTAAGTGGAAAAAAACATTACAATAACACTTGTAGTTCTATGACCCTAATTATTGCAAAAATAGTCACTCAAAAATACACTGTATGTCCCTATGGCTCAGGAGATGGAGGCAGGAGGGTTGTGAGTTCAAAGTTAGCCTCAGCAAAAGCAAGGTGCTAAGCAACTCAGTGAGACCATGTCTCTATATAAAATACAAAATAGGGATGGGGATGTGGGGATGTGGCTCAGTGGTAGAGTGCCCGTGAGTCCAATCCTGGGTACCAAAAAAAAAAAGAAAAGAAAGAAATACATTGTATGTGGCTTAATCTAAAATTGAATGATACAAAGGATTATTTGTATATTAATTGTCTCAGTAATGACCTATACTTAGAATGGGATAGGGTAAACTTGCTCATGTAGCAAGTACACATTTAGATTTTAGAATACACAAGAGGCCTTTTCTCATAGAAGCTAAATAGCTTTCGTGAGTTTTTAATTTTATTAGACTCATGGGCCAAGATTCATAACATTGGATGTCTTTATTTTTAATTCTTTCTCCACTTTCTATAGTTTACCAAAACATCCACACTGGTGACACTAGAATTCAAGTAAAGTCCTTGAACCCCAAATTATGTCTAATGGGTATGAGACAAATCGCTCTGTGGGTGTGGTCAAGGCTGGCCTGCACACAATTACACACGTCATTTTGCCATTAAGCCATTTTGTTTATGGCTATGAAATACTCTCCAGTAAAGCCTCCATTTGAAGCTGGTGGGCCTAGATAAAAGGAAGAACATGAAAAAAGAGAAAACACAGTGTTTCTTCTGTTTCATTGGGAGGAGAGGGATGGGAACTTCAAAAAAAAAAAAAATAAGCAAGCAAGCAAGAAAGAAGAAATGAAGAGAAGGAGAGAGAAAGGAAAGAAGGAAGGAAGAATTGAAACACATTATTAAGAAGAAGGAAGAGGAGGAAAGTAGAGGAGGACAAGAAAGAGGAAGCCAGGATATGTTAGTCCAGGAATGGAATAGAAATAAGAGAAGAAAAAAAGAAGGAAAAGGGAGAGGGATAGGAAAATAACATGCATTACATTACACTATGAAAACTGTCACACAGAAGTCACTGTGCTCATCTGTAATGCACCTTCACCACCTAGGCAGCTATTGGATCTGCTAACACACTTTTAAAAACATATAACAAATGTGTCTATTGAACATTCATAATCACAGTTTCAGTGAGGATTTCAGAGATGGTCCCATTTGACCTGTCAGCCACAGAACTTATTCATGTCTCATGGGTAGCTCAGCCACCAGCATCTGTCTAAAACTTTCATCATCAGAGAGATGTCCACCTCTCCTTCCAGTAGTAGGCCAGTCTCACTGTGAAAACGTTAAAGGAGGACAAGGAATAATTTGTCTTCCTTTAACTTCCATCCAATAGGCCCAGGGGCTTTGAAACCAAATAGACAAAATATATTATCTTTACATTGCAGCCACTGAAATCTGGAAAAAAAAAAAAAAAAAAAAACACTGCTAATTCCTTTATTATCTTTTTCAGCCAAACATCACTACTTTGCTCATTATTCCTCATCCTGGACGTTTGCCAAAAACAGTCACCATTCTGCTGCCAGTCTATCAATCTGTTCCTTTTATTTTACAAATTATTTGAACAATTGAAACATGCTTTATAATAGCATTATTTCACACTTTGGAAGTACTAAATAACTTCAAGTAAAGATATTTTTCTTTCTTTCTTAATTTAATGAGAATGTGTTTTCTTATTAATTTTTAACAATCTTATAAAGATAAAATACACATACAATTTGCAAACTTAAAATATACGATTTGATTGTTTTCATTATATATTTAAATATATAGAGCTATTACTATAATTAATTTTGGGACATTTTCATCATTTCAATAACTAGTCTTTGGTTATCACCCACTCCAAGTCCTGTGAAACCACTAATATCTTTTCTTTTAAAAAATCAAGTAAACATATTTTTAAGACATAAAAAAATACATTTTGGGACCTCTCACACATGTCATAAACTTTCCTACATTAACTCAAGTCATGAAGCCTCTAATCCCATAGATTAACATTTATTTTAGAACTGAGAACTGTTGAAAACCCTAGATTTTCTGACTATATCCTCCCTGGAAATTCTTCTGCTTATCTTCTTAACATGATGTATTATATTTGAGAAATAGTTATCAATAAGTCTTTCACTTTCAAATAATCTGGTAGAACTTTGAAGGAAAAAACAGAGGTTTTATAAGGAAATTTATAAAAAGTAGGAAAAAATATTGTTATAGACAAAGGGAAGGCAGGCGCTACAAAGTGATTTATTCAAACTGGATCAAAAATAGTGAAGAAGCGGGTAAACTGGAGAAGTAAACCCATATAAAATCTTTGATTTTAGGTGAAGGCAAGAAATGCAAAGTCATTAAAGTCTAAAAGTACTGAGAGGACTTGTTTTGGAAGGAGGAGAAATATGTCACATGACAAGTGCTAGGTAACACTATCACATGCCACCCATCCCTGGTTCCCTTCCCTCTGGGAGAACATCTAAGAGATAATCAGGCTGCATCTCAAATGCTTGCATAATATTAAAGTTGATATTTGAATTTTTTCATTATCTTTTTAATGTTCATTTTTAGAACATTATAGTTTTTTCACTAAATACATTTTTTTTACATCTGCTCTATTTCTATTTAAATGTCTTTTTTCTAGTTAGCACCTTGCATATCTCCAGTTGAATTCACTGCTTGGCTATGTGGTGTCCCTTGTGTTCAGTACCAGAGCCTCCCTCTCTCCTTTGATGTTTTCCATCATGACCTACATTTATGACATTGCACCACTCACAACAATCAGACATGTGGACCTTGTCCTCCCAACAATTACTGAGAGAACCATAATCACTGTCTTATTTATGTCATGGAAGATAATAACCAAAGCAAAATATATTATTGTAAATGTTTTTAGTGACCCACAAAGGCCATATAAAAACTAAGTGCATTTACCAATCCCCTTAGGATTGATTGCATAGTCTGAACTGTCCTATAAATTTGTATTCAAATGATGTATGTCTAGGAGATCTTGGGAGCAGGGAATGGAAAAGGCTGATTATGAAGGCACACATAAAATTAGATGTTTACTAAATACATAAAAGCAAAAACATATGCATGGAAGATTTATTTAGTCACAAAAATGTTGAATCTCTTCCCACTTGCATAATCTCAAAGTCAACTATTATTCCTGAAGGACACCTCTGATGTGTCAGACACCATGGTAGGGATTTCCACCCATCTTCTAGAATGATACTTTCTGAAATCCACTTTTGAGATTTTTTACATTGGTGCAAAATGCTTTCTCATTGCTTATAAGGGATTTTCCATGAGTGGAGCATAGAATAATAGGCTCAATTTGGTACTTTTGCATTATCAGTTAGTGGCAAACAGATCATTTAATTTGTGTAATTCTGCCCTTTTTAGGCTTTAATTATATACATTATAATTAACATTGCCAGCACTGCCATCTTTTAATAGAAATCAAATTATATAGGAATGAACCTGATTCAGAGAATTATAACCTGTACACTATTATATTACAAATGTTATTATTTAGAGCACAGTTGCCTGACTTAAAAATTTTGAAATATAACCCAAGTTTTATATATGACCCCAACAATGATTTGGATGAAAATTTTAAATTTAGTTGCATTATCCTGATGTTTCTGGGGAAAACAGAAAAATATGGTTATCACTTTAAATATTCTCCTATGTGGTTATAGTATAGATCCTAGTCTGTCTAATTTATCCAAATACCCAAGAGAACAAAGTTGAACTCAAGGAGTCCTGCCTACAAACTAAGTTAGAAGAGGCCATTTTGAGTCATAAGCAGAACCTAGTCAAGCACGTGGTAGAAAATCTGAAATTCCTGTGCTGTGACCTTGGATATATTTACCAAAATAAAGGGGTTTAACTGGAATGCTTAATTATTTGAAAATATGATTATTCATGTCAAAGTTATTTGAATGAACTCTCCCCTGTACTTTGTACTTGAATTTTTGAATATTGGCACCAGTTGGGGAGGGAGGATAAGGAGAATAACCACATAAATATAATAAGCAGATGCTCTGTCAAAAACCATGACATTCAGACTTCTATTGAGAAGTTGCTCTCTGATGGTAATGATCCAAGTTATTTATGCACAAAAAGGCGAGTTTCTTACATACACCCACCCACAGCAGGCTGTAATTTAATGGAGCAACCAACAAATGCTGCCAAGGGGAATTGCACTCTGTTCATATTATTGAAAATACTTACACAAGAGGTACTTAGAACAAGATAAATGCTACTATTTTAAAAGCCGACGATGAATATTACCTGATGAACAGTTCCAGAGGATTTAAAAAAACAAGAAAGAAAGAAAAAAAAAAGATTCCCAAGGTTTAAGATTCCCTCTTGCCTTTGTACTGTACAGAGAGCTCTTTTATAGGAAACAGTTCATCACAGAAATCACACAATAGTGAAGAAGTAAATCTTGGGTGTCTGAGTACCTGGTGCATTCAGATTCGGAAATCACCATTCAGACAACTGTGGAAACATTATTCCTTTAAAGCCAAACTGACATGAAAAATTGAGCTACATTTGCCTGTGATGTCTCTCTATGCTTTCTTCTTCTAAAGCTGGTTCACTAAAGCAACCCAGACAATCTCATAAAACATCTTGTAACAGGAGGGGCTGCAGGAAGAATCAAAATAAGTCTGTATTTAGCATCAGTTGCATGCATCAGAAACAAAGAGATCACTGGCCAG